GCAGATTCCCAGCTTACCACATTTCCATCCCACCTCCGCGGATGCCACGAGCTCTTACTCGCCATCTGCATCGTGACAGACCCGACAAGAACCACTCAGGGTACCGTAACAAAGCCAACCAATCGGGAGGGTTCCTTCGCGCATCATAATATGGGACGACTTCTTTGCTAAACAGGAGGCGTTCTGGAGGATCCTCAATGATCATCCTTTATTTCTGACGAAAAAGCAGTTTCCGTCAAAACATCAGCTCGAGTATGTCCTCCAGTTCATCACCCCGATCACTTCGGAATCGGATCTTCGATATTACGAACGAGAGGCGGTAGAGAACCAGGTTCGCAAAATCGTTGATCGGATCACCGAAGACGAAACTCTCAGGGAGGCGTTTGGACTGCGAGGCTCAATCACCTTCAACCTAGGACGTGCACAGGAAAGCTCGCTGAGCGAAGGGGTGGAGAAATTGTCAACCAACCCAGAGACTGCACCATCGGCCAAAGGTAAGGGCAGAGGTCGAAAGAAAAAGGAGGAGTCCACCGCAGTCACACGAGGGCAAGCGGATCGCTTCTGTATCTACCGGCAGGATGGCGACGAACACATCCCCGCGATCGCGATTGAATATAAGGCACCTCACAAACTCACGCAGGCCGAGATGACCACAGGACTGAGCGAAGAGATCCGACCCGCCCGGGATGTGATCGGCCAGGAGTCCGAGGATGTTACCTTCTGCTGTAGAAGACTCGTTGCCGCGGTCATCACCCAGCTCTTCTCCTACATGGTGCGCAAACGCGTACGATACGGCTACGTCTGCACCGGAGAAGCCTTCATCTTTGTGTACATCCCGGACGATCCGTCTTCAGTTCAGTGTGCGCTTTGCATACCGGATCGGGATGTCAAGGGGACTGACGATGATGATCTCCAGTGGACAGCCGTCGCGCAGGTCCTGGCATTCACCATCAGAGCATTGACCTCGCCACCAGTTCCCCAGCAGTGGAGCGATGCCGCTGATGGGCTTGATGTCTGGCCCGTGGAGTATTCCGACATCCTAGACCAGACTCCACCTGCCGCTCGCCTGAAACATGCCTCCCCATTGTACCGCGGCAGACGCCCTCGCAACCTTTCTCCCTTCAGGATGACGCTGCGATCCGGATGTCGGCCCTCTGAAAACAAACCTCGACCGACAAGCTCCCCCTCGCCGTCTCCTCCCCCATCCCCTTCCCTTACATCGCACTCCGGCCTCCGTGGCCGAACCAGAAGGGGAGGTTCCACTAGGTCAGATGGAAGGTCCACAGGCGTACCGGCACCCGGCAAACCCAGCGATACCAGGCGCATGTCCAATGTCATCCACACACCGGCCATCAAGGACCGCCCATACTGTTCTCAGCAATGTCTTCTTGCGCTCAGGGACGGCAGCCCATTTGATCCCTCCTGCCCCAATTACCAGGACCATCGGAAGGGTCACATGAAGGTGGAAGACTTCCGTTCTCATATCCGGAAACAGCTCGCTAGGGACCGTGGCCCGGATGCCGACTGTCGTCCGCTCTACAAGGCAGGAAGTTGCGGCACACTGCTCAAAGTGAGACTTTCGTCGCATGGGTACACCTTGGTCGCCAAGGCCGTGGAATCCAAGGATAAAGATAAACTCCAGCATGAAAGGAAGGTCTACAATCAGCTCCGAGACCTCCAAGGCGAATGCATCCCGGTCTGCCTTGGCGTTGTCAAATTGGAGCCAAAGCGCCCCTATTACCATGAAGAAAAAATCAACACCCATATCTTACTTCTGAGTTGGGCGGGAGAATCGATCGAAAAAGCTGGAACGCTTAGTCCCGCGAATAAACGGTCCACGGTATGCCGTGCCCTCCAAGCCATTCACTCGAGGGGGATTCTCCATGGCGACGCGGAGCCGCGAAATATACTATGGGACCAGGCCTGCGAACGTGTGAGGGTGGTTGATTTTGAACTAGCCACTATACAGCGGCCTCTCTCCGATGTGTCCACCAACGTTGCAAGAAAGAGGAAAGTGATGTCAACTTGTTTCAGCAAAGAGCTTCAACACATCGAGACTGTCTTTTGGGGATACAAGACTTGAAATGACCGATTCGTCGAACTTGTGATCAATAATTTC